GAAGATCTAAGACATTTAATAGTATCAAGAAGTACAGAGGCACCACTAATAATCAGACCTGATTCTGGAAATCCTCTTGACACTGTATTAAAGGTTTTGGATATTTTAGGTAAGAAGTTTCCTGTTACTGAGAACTCAAAGGGCTACAAGTTGCTGCCAACTTATCTTAGAGTTATCCAAGGGGATGTAGTAGATATTAACACCTTACAAGAGATCGTAGAAGGCATGAAATAAAAAAAGTGGAGTATTGAAAATGTTTCCTTTGGTTCTGGTGGAGCTTTGCTACAGAAGTTAACAAGAGATCTCTTGAATTGTTCCTTCAAGTGTCGCTATGTTGTAACTAATCGCCTTGGGATTAATGTCTTCAAGGACCCAGTTGCTGATCCCAACAAAATGTCCAAAAAGGGCCGATCATCTTTACATAGGACACCAGCAGGGAATTTTGTTACACTTGAGGAAGGAAAAGGAGATCTTTTCCATACTGTATTCAAGAACGGGAAGGTGACAAAAAGCTGTTCATTTGATGAAGTAAGAAAAAATGCACAGCTGAATATTGAACTGGAAGCAGCACCTCATTAGGCTGTTTTACGATTGGGTGTGTGCATGTGTGTGCGCAAGCAAGCGCGCATGAATGTGTGTGTGTGTGTGTGTGTGTGTGTGTGTGTACATGCGTGCATGCATGTATACACCTGTATGTATGTAATACATAATGTTTATTGGACAGATGTGTGGGGTTTCTTTGTGTTTTATGATACATTATAGCCAAATTATTTGTTGGTTTATGGACATACTGCCCTTTTCTTCCTCCTCCTCCTCCTCCTCCTCCTCTTCTTCTTCTTCTTCTTCTTCCTCCTTCTCCTTCTCCTTCTCCTTCTCCTTCTCCTCTTTTTCCAGTGTTTAGGTGATCTCAAATTAGGAAATGCACATAACCATGTAAAAGATTACTGCTAAAGTAAGCTTTTTAGGGCCCTTTGCCAATAGATAGTAACTCAATCTGGTATTGATCTTTTCACAAATAACAGAACCGAGACTTTTATATATAACTAAAGATCACATAAAACAGATTTGCATAAAATTATCATGATTGCTTTATGTTTATATTTAACTTGTATTTTTGTACAAACAAGATTGTGTAAGATATATTTAAAGTTTCAGTGATTTAACAGTCTTTCCAACTTTTCATGATTTTTATGAGCACAGACTTTCAAGAAAATACTTGAAAATAAATTACATTGCCTTTTGTCCATTAATCAGCAAATAAAACATGGCCTTAAAAAAAAAAAAAAGAAAATGTGGTACATATACACAATGGAATATTACTCGGCCATAAAGAAGAATGAAATGATGGAATTTGCAGGTAAATGGATGGAACTAGAGACTATCATTATAGTGAAATAAGTCAATCCCCAAAACCAAGGCCAAATGTTCTCTCTGATATATGGATGCTAACGCACAATAAGTAGGGATGGTGGGGATAGAAGTTCACTGGATGAGACAAAGGCTAATAAAGGGAAGAGCGGGGAGATGGGAATAGGAAAGACAGTAGAATGAATAAGACATAACTTTCCTATGTTCATATATAAATACATGACCAGTGAAACTCCACATCATGTACAACCACAAGAATGGAAAGTTATATTCCATATATGTATTCTGTGTCAAAATACATTCTACTGTCATGTATATCTAAAAAAAAAAAAGTAAAATTTTTTAAAATACTTACTTCTTAGTTTTTTTAGGTGGACACAATATCTTTACATTTATGTGGTGCTGAGAATCGAATCCAGTGCCTCATGCATGCTAGGCAAGTACACTACCACTTGAGCCACATCCCCAGCCCTAAATTAAAAAAAAAAAAAAAGACATTTTCTTTTCATCTCACTCAAAATAAGAGAAATGCAATTTAAGTTACACTCTACCCCCCCCCTTATTGATTGGCACAAAGTCCAAATTGTTGACCAAGTACTCTACTGGTGAGGCTATGGGGAAACAGGGGCAGGCCCATGCACTGCTGAGCCTAGCATGTTCACGCTAATCAATATGGAGAGCAATAAAACCATAACTCCAAGGGGCTCCATCAGTGCCACAAGAGGCTTCCCAGTCAGTCACCTGTCCCAGGAATTGTATCCAATTTGTACTCCAAGAATGAATTCTAGAAATAAATGCAAGTTGGTAAAGATACATATAGGATGATACTTGTTATATTATTTGTAATCACAAAAATGTCAAAACTCTGAATGTTTAACAATTAAGAAATAGTTGAACAAATAATGGTCTAGCCATAGTATGGAATATTATGGATTAATTGAAAATAGCTAAGGTTGTCTACTTCCATCATATATTAAATAAATATCAAGTTGCAGACAAATATATCATCATATTAATTAACCACGCACCCAATGGTGTTCTCAGGACTTTTAATACAATATCTCATTTAATTTTTGCAACAACATTATGAGGTGAATACTATCATTATTCCATTTCAAAGATGAAAGCAAATGATGGGGAGGTAAAGTAATCTGCCCAAGGTTAACCATTTAGGATATGACTAGGCCCTGGAATAGAACCCAAGGAGGGTGGCTTTGAAGTACCAGCATAGAATCATATGGTATACTTTCTCTAAACATAACTCTAAGTTCGAATAGGTATAGGTATACATATTTGTTTGAATGAATGTAGGAGCATGTATCTATCTGTCTATATAATGGGCCCCTCTGGTATGGCTATAACTCCTGGGGTTAGGTAAGGTGAGAGAAGGGAAGGGATTTTTACTTCTTTTTTTTTTTTTTAAAGAGAGAG